TTTAGTTTTGATGAAAACCTTCCACCCCCTTTTATTTTTTGGTCTGGAACTTTTACGTCACATTTGCCACGGAGCCAATGCGAGTGAATGAACGTGTGTGCTCGTTCCTACGAATCGGTTCTTTTAAACAGTTTGTTTATTGTTATTTAATCTGTTCCATTTTTTTACAGTCTATGGTTCCAATCCAGTTTTTTTCCGTCCTGACTTTGCAAATAAAATCGTTATATTTGCTATTCGCATACAAAACGTCGGTTTTAATGAGCATTTTATTAAAATGTACAAATCATATATTTTCTGCCAAGAACTATAAATGACCTTTAATATTTATTAATGTACATGCAAATGTTATCTAATCTTTCTTTTTCAATTATAAATCCTTTCCTTTACTGTGTATGTATAAATGGTCACTAATTTTATCGGGGTACCTTTTCAACTGATTCATTCAAAGTAACCGACTCACAAAAATGATTTGTTCACGAGTTGGACATCGCTATACCGGAGTTCATGCAAATGATGACATCTTATACTTTCTCATGTTATGTTGTACTGAGTAATTCAAAATAATATGCACAACAAACATTTTTTCTCAAGTCTATGTCCATTATACGACAACGTTTCATTTTCCATTTATAAATGTACACGTTAACATGTATGACGTTTGGAGAAACTCAGGGAAACCTCATAATGGCCCAGAGAAAACCGTCTCTTGTTTTGTTTTTAAGTCATTGGAGCTTCGACGGGAACTTGGTCTTCTAACCGCTGTGGTTTACGGCTACGACGTAGAAAATATCGACGGGAACAAATAGTGGTCGTTTGTTTTAAACAACTTCGAGGTATTTTAAAGGGCACTAATGAAATTATGTTAGGACTTCCGGCTAACATAGTAAACATTCGTCGCTGCGCCAAGCTACACGACTTTAGCTCTTTAAATATAGATATTTATCTACAGTTGTGCACATATGTTCTTGTCAGGGTCAGATTAATTACGAGGTTCGTGTTCTTTGAGGGCCACCGGTATTAGACAATGGTTGACAAACGTAAATCTCTTAAAACTAAGCTATCCTTCACAATGTTTATCTGTTGCATGATTTACTCTTACCTGCTAAAACAGCATAAGAAAAAAACAATAACATTACAATCAGTCAACAAACCAAGCTGGATATATATATATATATATATATATATATATTACACACACACACACACACACACACACACACACACACACACACACACACACACACACACACACACACACACACACACACATATAACCTCTCTGTTTTTCCTTAGATGATTGAGGTGGTAGCATCTATGGCGCGAGGGCCTGTGTTTTTGGCCGGGGAGGTTTTAGAGTGTCTCATAACCTTCACAAACCCTATGTCACATCTGTCTACATCTGCCAGCAGGTAAAGAACACCATAATCAGCATGAATGTGTTGTCCAAGATGGCTTTTGGCCAGTGCCTCATTAATAAGTTAAACCTTGCTGTGCTTTGGTGTATCTCCACATTTCAGTCATTATATGAGCTATCAGTTCCGAAGTGAGTCTGTTAATCTTCCACAGTGAGATGTTGGCTTGGGCCAGTGCTCAGATTCACTGCCAGTTCCATGCTAGCGAGAGTCGCGTGGCTCTGCCCGCTCAGGGCACCAAGCAGGACGTGCAAGCTGAGAGTGACACCGTGCTGATACCAAGCAGAGGTGATAAATAAGCAGCTGATCGCACAGTTGTTTTACTCAATTTTTAATATTGAATCAAAGTTAAAGCAACCAGAATCATGGGCAGTTTTTACTATATCTAAAAGTTTGTACTTAGTTAGACATAGGTTTGTATTTTCAAAAGCAGAACAGAATAGCAAGTAAATTTGGAACAGAAAGTATTCCAAATTTTACTCCTAAAAATTTAGTAATTTATTTAGGATTTAGATCATGATTATGAGGAGAGATTTCACTATTTCCCTTGTTTCTTCATTGATCCAGGCGAACGAGGGCAGTGTGTGCTGGACACACCACCTAAGATCTTGTTCTGTGACCTTTGTTTGGACCCTGGAGAGAGCAAAACCTGTAAGATACTGCATTTAAACCTGACACGTTTAGATGGCACATTACATGTTCTTTTTGTACAGTGTTTGTGTAGTTTACACTGTTTGCACTTTCACAACTTCAGTAATAAGAAGTAAACCCCTTAATCATTTCAGAATTAAGCTAATTCCTCATGACCCACATATTGTTGATATTTCTCTGAAAACTGGCTCATGGCACAGGACCAACCATCAGCTGGCCAAAGTTTAACTATGTTTAATTGCACATTATGCCTGGCTAATGTTATTCTGAACTACAGGACATTTTCATGGACATTGACTACCACCAAATAATGTTTTCCCCTCGTTCAGATACCTATAGTGAGGTTGTGCCCTCTGACGGTCCACCCAGTTTCCGGGGCCAGGCAGTGAAATATGTGTACAAGCTCACAATTGGCTGCCAGCGAGTCAACTCGCCTATCAAGTTACTCCGAGTCCCTTTCAGAGTTCTTGTGCTTCATGGTAGGTTGCACTTCTTTTCCTTCTTTGTATATAGTTTCCCTTTCAACCCTGTCCATGCAAAGCAGATTCATTTTTACCAGGCTGAATGTGAGATGCATTATGAATTGTTTAATTTTTACACACAAAGAAATTATTCATCTTTTTAGAAATAATTGTGAAATTATATATACTCGCATAAAATGAGGATCTGAGTCATATATGGTCACCATCATGTTAAGATCACACAATCAGACCAACCATAAGTGACAAATATGGCTTTTTTGGATGATGTTAATTAGTGTCTATAAAAATGTCCCACACAATAGTAAGAAGATGTTCTTTTGCAGGTATGCCAGAGCCTCCGTTCCCTCAGGATGAGGAAGTGGCTCCCTCAAATCCCTTCCTGGAGGAGGAGGAAGGAAGCCGGAGAGATACAAGACCACTAGAAAGAGCTCTGGATATGCTAATGATCACCACCTCACGTCGATGCCCATGTGCGTGAGTGAATGGGGGTGGTAGTGATTGTGAGAAAGCTTGTGTCTTTGAAATTCATCTAACTACTATCATGTTTTAGTCCTGCGCTAATGAATTCTGTGTAATAAGCACATACATTTCTTTCACAGATATGTTCAACATCACAAATGTGCGGGGTAAAGTGGCTAAGTTCTGCATCTTTAAGACTGTGTACAGGCTCGGAGAAGATGTCATTGGCACCTTCACATTTTCAGAAGGGGATATTCCATGTTTACAGGTATATTATACACTACGGTTCAAAAGTTTTGGGACAGTAAGTGTCTTTTGCTCACCAAGACTGCATTTATTCAATCAAAAATACAAAAAAAGTAAGATTTTGAAATTTTACAATTTAAAATAACTGTAATTTAGTCCTTTGATGTCAAAGCTGAATTTTTAGCATTATTACTCTGGTTTTCAGTGTCATTCTAATATTCTGATTTGGTGCACAATAAACATTTCTTATTGTAATCAATGTTGATAACTGTTGTGCTGCAGGTTATTTGTTTTGTGGAAACTGATAACTTTTTCAGGATTCATTAAGGAATAGTCTTTAAAAAATATTTTAAATGTATTTTTTACAACAATGTAAAAGTCTTTGCAGTCACTTTTGATAAATTCAATGCAACTTTACTGAATTAAAGCAAATCATTTAATTAAAAAAAACCTTATTGACCCTCAAGTTTTGAGAATGTCAATGCTTCATGATGTGCTCCTGGAATGTTCATGTGTATTTATGTTTGGTCTGCTCAGTATTCAGTAAGTCTGCAAAGTGAAGAGGAGGTCCAAGAGCTGTACCAGAGACGACCCGGCCAGGCGGTCAGTGTCACTGGTCATGGCCGACATGTAGAGTCCTGTTTGCACACAGCCTCCAGCCATTTCTCTCTTCCTGTACCCCTCAACGTCACACCTGGATTCACCACAGATATAGGTTTGAAAACCTTTGCTTTTTAAAAAAAATGATACTCTGGTTGACATTGTTTTGCTTAAACCTGGAGTTTTAAATCTATTATCGAATATATGTATGTAAAGGAAATATTTGTTCAGGCAAAATGCATTGAGAGTCTTGATTATTTTGAGACTTAATTTAGTTAATTTTCTATTTTAAATCAACAGTGATAAGGGAAAATTCCCATTCTATGTTTTTATTCTCTTCCCCAGTGACGTTAAGATGGCGACTGCATTTTGAGTTTGTCACAGCGCGGGAACCAGTGGAGGCACCGGTCGTTCTGCAGAATCAGTCAGAAGTCACGGTATGGACTGGGGCGGAGCATGTGGATGTGGACACCTTCAGTTGGGACCTGCCAATCAAGGTGCTTCCCACCAATCCCACGCTAGCTTCATATGTTTCACAGTTCACAGGGACAAACAGCATCAACATTTGAGTTGTGTTGGTATTTGTGCTGGAAAATCATAAAACTAACAATTTGTTCTTGTGAGATGTGTTGTTAGCGGTCTATTCCAAATTCTAATGTAGCTTATTTTTGGAGTTGTTCTTTTGCCGTGCAATGAGATAATTCTTTATTTAAGCAACTTTAACATTTCAGCCTTGACCAACAGACTGCTTTACCTCCTGTAATGTTGAAATGTCTGTATTTATTGTCTATATTTCAATGTATGCTCCAAAATATACTGACATACGGTTTCTGCGGTATTTAAATGACAAGCTATTTTGTACATTTCTCTATATGAAAATCATAACTGAATAAAATCTGTTATTTTACAGAGTTATTTGTAGCTGATGAGTTGTTGAAACTTGTAATTTTTTTGATGTTTAAAGAAAATAGATTCTAAATATGAGACAGTGTATAACTAAGCTGTTATTTACAATAGTGCATACATGGTTATGCTGCTTAAAATTAGAAACATGGATAAAATGTGTTATCAAATCAGAGTATTGCTTGTCTCATGAAGAGTTTTATTGAAATGATTTAATCAGGAATACACTTAATTTTGCTCTCAGGGCTTGAAAACATCTTTGCTATTGAGAGAAAGAACTGTAAAAGACAATGACAGGCCATTCACTGCTAATACTGTTATAGTGATATAATAGTAACATGGTAGAAAAGGCACAAATACACATAATGCTCAACATTACATACAAATAAAAATAACTTCTGATCTCTCACTCCAATACAGGACTCGCTTTCCTCCCTTACATGCTGTACATGTCAAACTGCTTCCTTAAATGGTAATAGTTATGTTATGAGAATACAGTTGCTATAGGAGTAATTTCCCATCTCGCTTAACAGTGAGACAGATGTTAGCTGACAAGCAGAGGATTTGTGATTTTTGCAGGCTTTCTCCATGCTAACCTTCAAGTTTCATGTTGAGTGCTCCATGTCTTGGGTCAGCATTGTTGTCTTCTCCAGGAATGCAGGGCAGACGAGGATCAGAGGTCATAACCAGCATGACCTGGCAGGTCAGAGATTCAACTTGAACTTCACAATAGGGTGGAAAGTCCACAGGCCGATGCACACTGTAATTCAATAATTATATTATATTACATAACCCCTGCCATAGAAGAACCATTTTGTGTTCCGTAAAACAACATCCAGTGAACAGTTCTTAAAGGAACCATATTTTTCTAAATGTGAAAGAGATTGTAATAATCTGAAGAACCTTTTATCACTAAGGACCCTTTTGTGCAATTGAAAGGTTCCATGTTAAAGGTCCTTCACGGAACCATTGATGGCAATAAAAAACTTCATTTTTTAAGGGTGTACTGTACTTTTAGTCTCAACGCATCAATCTCATTCATCGGGTTCTTTATACATAGAAGTGTTACAGTTCTTACGTTTCACAGCAACCCACTCCCACAGGGTGCAGGCAGGTGCACTGCACACAGCCCTGCTCCATCCAGCTTTCTCCCATAGAGTACTGCTTTCCATCATATTCACACAGAGCTGTGAAGAGAGACGTCAAACACACGGAATATCAATCTCCTCAAGCCTTGAGAGTGCCTGAACCTCAAGTGCACTCCAAAAAACTGTCATTAGATAGGACATATGCTCTCACCTTGAGAGTTGAAGTGACACTGCATTGGTGCTGCTGAACATGTCGTCCACACCAAGCAGGCCATGAAGAACATCAATGTGTCGTGTCTCGCCATGGGACCCATCTCGGTTGTTCGATCGCCCTCTGAGTTGCTCTCTCCTCTTTTGCACCTTCATTTATACCCCCTTTCGTTCATGGGGACGGGTGTGGGGAGTGGTTTACCCCCTACCTGAGGTATGTCTCTGGGGTGGGGGCAGGTTAGTTGGGCTGTTTGAGGGGGGTGTAAGGGAAAAAGCTGTGGTTTGGCACCACTTGTTCTTTCTCTCCAGTGATTGCCATTCTCCGCTCCACTGGGCATGACCTTGAAAAACTATAGAAAATCTGACACATCCTGGGATGACTAAGAGAGGTGGGGAAGAGAGCGAGAGAGCAAAAAGTTGACGCGAGACAGGACACAGATTATGGAGAACATAGACTGTCAGTTAAAGATAATCAGGTGTTCATCTGGGTTTTGGTGGTTGTACACTAATAATAAAGATGTTTTGATATTTTTAAGTATTTTATAGCAAGGCTGCATTTATTTGATAAAACACAAATATTGTGAAATATCATAATCTAAAATAACTGTTTTCTATGTTAATATATTTCAAAATGTAATTTATTCTTGTGATGGCAAAGCTGAATTTTCATTACTCATTCTGATATGCTGATTTGGTGCTCAATTATGATTGGTTAATACTGGTGCTTAAACACTGTTTCTTATTATTAGTAGCATTATGATGTTTGAAAAGTTTTTTCAGACTAATAATTGTCTGGAAACCGTGATATTTTTTTTCAGTGTTCTTTGATTTTATTTGCCCCATTTTTTTAAATGGTAAAGTATCATAGTGTCCACAAAATGATTAGGCAACAAAAACTGTTTTCAACATTGATATTAATAAGCAATGTTTCTTATTATTAGCAAATCAACATATCCAAATGATTTCTGAAGGATCATGCGACACTGAAGACTGGAGTAATGATACTGAAAATTCAGCTTAATAAATTACTTTTGAAATCTATTAAAAATAGAAAACTTCACAATATTACTGTTTTTTTTAATTTACTGTAGGCTATTTTTGGTCAAATAAATGCAGCCTTGAGCATGAAAGACTTTTTCAAGAATACTACAAAAGTCTTAATTATTCCAAAGTTTTGACTGGTAGTAGGCCATAAATGATAAAGTAACCGTCAATATTATCTCACACATTCTTGAACAAAGCTGTGGATGGTCAAATGGTGATTCTCAGCAACACCAAGAAGATCAAAACACAAACAGGCATTTATCGTAACTGTGGTCCTAAGGTTGCCTTGACCTTCGTCTGCTTCTTTGGACCGAGCTTATGCTGATGATGTCATGGCTGTGATGACCTCACATGGGCCTGGTCCAGCTGAAGATGTTCATAAGCAGGAGGAAGCTCATAAAGGCAGGATTGGACGTTTATTGCGCAATTGCTGCAGGTGTGTGTGTGTGTTTATGACCAGGGAAGATGTAATATATTTCTGAAATGCGTTTTTGTTATTGAGGAAGGATTTCTAGGTGTCGAGCGTGAGGGATTGGGCTTTGAGCGGATGCCGAGAAGGTAACGCTCTTTGAGCCAGAACCAAACATTACATACTAGTTCGCACATTAGCTCATCTCTCGTCATCTTTGCTATCAAGATGGAAACATTTGCGATAGAAGAAACAGGCGTTTTCCAAGGAGGCTCTTGGGTACCACAAAGTCTGTTTGTAGCATTCACGCCTGTGTCACCCCACAGTAGTCTGAAAGGTGTTGAAAGCTCCTCCCGGTGTACTGCATGTTGTATTACTGCTCTATGGCTCTGACTACACCTCAGTTTGGATAAAGTGACTCAGTCTCTCCTCTGGCTGTGCATTCTGACCTTGTTTACCTCTGGTTGATCGTTAGAACTGGTTTAGTATTTACTAGAAGGCCATTGGGCAGAAGTTCTTATTTTGTTGTTGCCATGCCAATTAATCTTTGGTTGCTAATTGTTGTTAAATGCAAGAAGTAACTAAAAGTGCTAGTATGAATTAGCCTTTTCAACAGGTACACTTCAAACATTAAGTGTTTTAGGAAGCGCGTTTCCTGATTTACATGTTAAATCATTTAAATCAAACCCTGGGTAACCTATCACACTGTTTCGCAACTTATGTCTTATGTAGCTAGTACATAAGCAACTACATTTTACAAAGGAACTGAATGTTCAATCACAGTTAGCAGCACATTTAAAACAACACCTGTTGTTGAAGTTTTTAGTTAGTTTAGTTATTAGTTTACAATGAATAAAATTTGACAACCTAATTTATTTAAAAAAATAAATAAAGATGCATTGCACATAATTCAGATTGATCAGACCTACAAATACTCGATCCATCATATGAGCAATTATTAATTGCTGAAAACAAAACTTCAGACCTGTTAGCCAGTGGAAACCTTCATCATTTCAAGACTGCATCTGTCCTTTGGTTTCAGCTCAAAGGAATGTGGCCTTAAACTTGGGAGCAAGGAAGCAGAGTCCCCTCTGTGAGTGTTCGGAACACATGAGGGGTGGCAATGAGCCTTATCCTCTTTAACAGCTCTGGAGTCCCGAGCGGAGGATGTAATGGACTGCGGCCCTGTTCTGTTGTACAGTCTGACTCATCACCATTTATTACATAACCACACACTAATGTGCAGGGGGACCCGAGGTTGCACTAAAATTTAGATGCAAGTGATTGGATGCCAAACTGCCAACGAATGTAAATTAAAAGCAAGAACAGCTTGTTTTTTCAATCATTTTATTGGCTTGGTTCTTTTTCTGCCCTTGCAAATGATGGCAAGAAACACTTTATGTGAAGAGAGATGAGAATTTTAGGAAGTACAACTTATTTTGGTGCGTATTTACACAAACGCACCAATAAAATGTTAATTGCATTGGAGAACATACTTGGAGCATTATGTTCATGCACCCAAAAGACAGATAGCAAATGCAAATGACTTGTCCACCTGTGCAGAATTGCTGACGAAAGCCATAACCAACTGGTTTCACAGCAGATCTGAGCTTGTTAAATAATCATACAATGAGTTGAGTGTTATAAACAATTTCTTGTTTTGGAAATCTCTTAATATATATTGTAAGAAAATGTATTCATTAATATCTTCCTACAAACTTGGCTTTGTTGTTCCTTTTTCTGCTTTAGATCCATACAAGAAGACGTGGGAAGAATGAGACATGCACAAAGTGGTATGCTTCACACCACCTTGAAAGTTTATTGATCAGATACACTACTTCTTGTTGTGCATATTAATGTATCATAGTACAAAGACTTTCAGAATTGATTGTATAAACAAATAAACAGATTATCTCAAGACCTCCTACTTTCTTTTACCATAAATTTATGCTTCTGGTTCATTTTTATCCTCCTTGACCTTTATCAATGTTCCAAAATATGATGCTTTATGCATACAATTTTTAATTGTTAACATTTTATTTGACTCCCTTTATAGACTTTCCCATGGCCTATTGAACTTGACTACAGAAATAAGCATTATTCATTAGTTCTTTTTCACAGCATTTGGCTACAGAAAGCAGTCACCTACTAAGAGGGGGGACTGTCCAGTTATCTGAGACCCTTATTATCCGTTGATAAAACAGATTAAAAAGATAAACCACAATTGTTTACTACAGCACCTAAAAATCACATGACATAATGAATGTATTCTCTTCAAAGGGATTCAGAAAATGTAGTACATAATTAAATTAATTAAACATATTTAAACAAATGAAATAAAATCAAATGAGTAAAATAGATATTTCTATGATCTATTCTCATTGTACAATAATTAATATGCAATTCAAGAGGACTTTTAAACGCCTTACAAAAATTGTCCTCTTTTACTATCCGTTCTTCAACAAAACAGGAAGTCACAAAGATTCACCAGACCAAACAAGCTATTTCTGATCCGCTCAGTGCAAACAAGCCGCTGCGGCGATCGAGCAACTTGACATCGATTATTTGTGCCTGATTCTAATGTTTTCCTTTCTAAAAGCGGACGCGATGAAGCCCTGTCAGATGTTCATTATAACTTTATTATTGTCTTAAATTAAGACTGCTAGTATTTTTTTGACAGCCATATTGGTTGTCATTATTTAGGCGAAGTTATATCAAGAGTATAAACTGTTACGAAAAGCAAAAACTCCTGTAGTTAACTTAGATCCAGTGCAGGGTGTTTATAGGCCCTGCAGTTGATCTTCCATCGCCTGACAAATCTTTATGCGTTTCGTTTTGTTCACTACGGTTTTGCATAACACTTCGTCGATCACTGAAGATGGACACAGACAAGTTTAACTATGTGTATAGCTGCGATTTGGACATAAACGTCCAACTGAAAATGTGAGTATGTTTATGGACCTTAGTCATTGTCTTGATTGCAGAATGTCGAGAACCAGCTCATCATTATTGCTCATTGAAACATCGCTCGTATTATGCATCTAAGTTATGTAATTTATTAATATGGTTTTAATTATAATGTATACGTTGTCAAAGATAAAATCACTAAATCTCCATATGTAGAGGACTTAGTGCTTTTATATTTTAAACGTAGAAAGGAAGACTCTTCCCTCCGTTATATCAAATCGTTGTTTTTGTGATGTTTACCAAAGCTAGCATGGCAACACAATGAGTCAGAAGAATAAAGTGTTAACACGAGTCCAGCGAGAGCTGTTGTGTTTTAGGGCTGTCATCTGTCTATTGATATCATTCTCCTTTTGCCCTCGATCTTAACGAGTCTCTGTCCACATGTGGATCATAAATGACCCCTTGTTTTTGTCCGGCTGCACACGCGCGCATAACGGAGTCAGTTTAATTTCTCTCTCTGTGTGTGTGTGTGTGTGTGTGTTGCATTACGTTAGAAGGACAGAAAAAATCCCAGGGTGTTAGTGAGCAAACTTTTACCCAAGACCTCATCATAAGACAGTGAAGCCAAACTGCATGAACTTCACATGGTGACAGAAGAGCTGTCACCATGTGAAGCACCAGAAACTATCATTTTAAGGGATAGTTCACCCAAAAATGAACATTTTGCCTCATTGCAAAGTTTCAAACCTGTATTAGTGTTTGTTCTTCTTTTATTTTCATTTCATCTTCATTTGTTTTGTTTTTTTTGAATGTGAGTTAGTAATAAAAGAATTATAATTTTTAGGTAAACTATACCTTTATATATATATATATATATATATATATACACACACACACACACACACACATGCGTGTGTGTGTTTTTGACAGTACTAATGACTAACGACTAGCGTCAGTGTGAATATAATATGAGGTGGAAAGGTCACGGAAATGATTGGTCAAATAGCTGAAATTTAGACCCCAAATATCTTGACGTTGTGTGCTGACTGAGCAGAAATAGCCTTTCGTTTGTGTTTGCTTTTGCAGAGGCAGTCTAGAGGGCAAGAGAGAGCAGAAGAGCTATAAATCTCTGCTCGAGGACCCCATGCTACGATTCTCGGGACTCTATCAGGAGAGCTGCTCCGACCTGTACGTCACCTGTCAGGTGTTTGCTGAGGGCAAGCCACTCGCTCTGCCAGTACGGACGTCTTACAAGGCTTTCAGCACTCGCTGGAAGTGAGTACATTTACCAACGGTTAATCTCCGTATCTCACACTGTGGCTCACTTTATGCAAGTGTGACCCAGTAATGAGTCAGAGCAGGAAACCAAACAAAATATGTCAGATATGTGTCGCAGAGATATATAGCCTATATATTTTGGTACCTTTATCACCTTCTCACATATTTACACAGATACATGACAAGTGTAATGAATTTTCTTAATTTAGAAAAAAACATTAATACCTTCAGATCTTGTTTGTTGACTGTACTGAGCATTTTGCCACATTTTCTTCTTCGTAGCTGGAATGAGTGGCTTAGATTGCCAGTGAAGTACCCTGACCTGCCTCAGAGTGCCCAGGTGACTCTAACTGTTTGGGATGTGTATGGACCCGGCCGTGCCACACCTGTTGGGGGCACTACAGTCACCCTGTTTGGGAAATATGGGTAAAGGTCTACTGTTTTATCAGAAATTATGTGTGTACCTCATTAGCCTTCATGTAAACTACTGAAAATGTCATGTGATTGAGCTCTTTTTGAAAGAAATGTATCTATGGTTAAAAGAGACTTTTAATAATAATTGTTTTGAAAACCTTTAATTCTATCTACTTTCACAATCAAATATTTGTATTTGAAACAAATAATAGTTTCAAATATTTCTCACTGTTCAAAAGTTTGAGGTCAATATAATTTTTTAACCTCTTTTTCAGCAAGGCTGCATTAAATTGTTCAAAAGTGTCAGTTAACAGGATTATTATTTTACAAATTAATTATATATCAAATAAATGCTGTTCTTTTGAACTTTCTATTCATCAAATAATATCATGGTTTCCACATGGCTGCTGAAAACTCTGCACATTACTAAATTACATTTTAAAATATACATTTTTTTTATTAGAGCAAATAATTGTAGTCTTGGTGGGCAATAGAGACTTCTTTCAAACACACACACACATATAAACACCTTTGAACGCTTCTAAACATGTGACATTTTTGAAGGACAGTTGGACATGATATATTTGTCCAAAATTAAAAGGAGGCATTTACCAATTATGCACGAGGATGCCATGCTGATTCAGCTAAATTCTTTAGGTACCTGACTCAGTCACTTTTTACAGGAATCTAACGAGAAACAGGACTCTCGCAATTATGGTAACACTGACACCAAACACAAAGTTCAGAATACATATAATTCATATCTTTACTCGCATGATAAATTCATTGTAATCCAGAATTGAAATTACATATAACCAGCATATTCAGAATCTGTGATTATATCAAATGAATTCGAATTAATACAAATCTGTGCATGTTAATATAGTCAGTGCGGTGTTATTAATCATTTATGGAAGAGATTGTTAGGGAGACAAACTTTTTGTTTGATGTTTTTTTGTTGTTGACATTTTTCAACGATAGTTTGCACACTACCCTCTTTTACACCTAATGAGGGGAATCCCTTATCCTTCTTCATCTCTCTTCATCCTCTATCTACCAGAATGTTCCGGCAGGGCATGCATGATCTGAAGGTGTGGCCGGGCGTGGAGGGTGATGGCAGTGAGCCCACTAGTACACCAGGAAGGACCAGCAGCACTCTCTCAGAGGACCAGATGGGCCGCCTAGCCAAGGTCAGTTGAGGGATTAGGGAGTGGATAACTGAGACAGAAAGGCGAGAAATATGCCTGTGGACAGTTACTGGACATGAGGGATATTTTAAATGAAAAGTGGGTGGGAGGGTGGGATAGATGGATGTGCTGTTTGTGTTTATAGATTACCCAATTTGTGGAAAGAATGAGAATTGAGAGTGTTTGGGAGTGTGATTTGTGTGTGTGTGTCTGTGTGTGTGTGTGTGTGTGTGTGTGTGTGTGTGTGTGTGTGTGTGTGTTCTCTAAAAGGACATGTTTTAACTGCCCTCTGTTCCAGGGCCCAGACCTGGAGATACTTAGTGACGTGAGTATGAGAGAAAACGGGACAGGAATGCTGAATGTATGTATGTGTGTGTATGTATGTATATGACTGAGTGTGTGCTTGTCTCATAGTTTTTGGGCAAGATATAGGATGGGTTCCATACTTAGCTTGTTTAATTTGACCCACATTTTCACAAATAGGATAAGTATATAATTTTCTGTGTGTTTTGGACTTTCAAGCACTGACATTTTGGACATTGCTTGCCCTCACCAATTTTTTATTTATTTAACAATTTATATTCTTTTTTGTATTTGAGAATTTATGTAAAGCAGTAAAGCTGTTATAAAGCACACCAAGTGTTTAGGGGAATTGAGAAACACTTTTTATGGAAGCAATAAGGTACCAGAGGCTGTGCTGTATCGTATGTAAGTAATGGCCGAAGGGCGTTGTTATGCACGAGTACCTTATTGCTTTTATAAAATGGGTACCACACAATAAAAATGTTAAAGTAAAAAAATTTGTATTAGTGCAACTTTCATGAAGTAAAATCACTCCTTCCGCTAGAAAAAAAATAGTCCCTGACCGTGAACAGCAACAATGTTCCGATGTGTAATATACATGAAAGCTCAAATAAAAACAGCATAGGGACTGCATTGTTGCGCAGTGATAAATAGAACCGTTGGGTGAAGCGGTCATTGGCGTGTTTTATTATGAATAAAGCACAGCTATTGACCAATCAGAATCAAGGATTGGAACTAATCGTTTTAAAGACACTATAAATTTCCCATGCAATCGTTTTTCTTAATGACAAGGATTCGGCTAGGTCTATTAAACCTTTGACAAGGACGATCACAGCGAACATATGTGTTGGTGCTGCCACTGCCCCAGTGACAGCAGTTGTCATGTATAGATATGAAACAGCTCCTCAAACTTTCAACCATACAGTATCTTTATTTCAGTGTTACAATAATTCAAAATATCGTAAAAGATATAAACACTGATGTCTACAGTAGTGATCAATTACATCATTACACCAGTAGGTGGCGAAAATTGAGTGAGTCGTTGAGTCAATCATTTATTAATTCAAACAAACCAATTTTTTTTAAATGAATTAAAATTAATTAAATATTTTAAAATTGATTTATAATTTATATAATTTGCAGCATTTAACATTTTATCAGAACCAGTAAATTGCATGTTATTTTGTTTAGTGGTCTATGCAGAATCGTGAAACAAAAAAAATTGATTCTCAAATCAGAATCGTGCAGCTCTACTATAAATTAATTTTAAAAAATCTGGCTGGTCAGATACAACTTGAGCCCTTTTAACAACATCTTTCAACTAAATGTTTCAACTCATGTTATGGCCATGTCAAAGCTGGTAAGCTTGCCTAAACATCTGTTCATAACAATTGTGTCTGTAATTTATAACCAGACGTTCATCTACAGAAAAATAGTTCTACATCAAACGGACAATTTAGAAGATAAATATAAAGATAGTTGTGCTGGGTAATAATGATTTGTTGTGGATGCAGTTGACAAAGCTTAACTTGTTTGGAACTGGGAACATTCCTTGAAATGTTATGGATATTATGTATAGCCACTAAAACAGAAGTATTGCTGGTTTAACAAAGTCCTCTTAGACTCTTGGTGGCCTTTGGATGAGATGTGTTATGGTACTAATTATTACTAACTGTTTGTTTAGAAAGGGCTGAGTCATCTTAGTGTGCTACTACTTTGTACTGGCACCAACTGAATGTCTTGCTAATGGGCGTTTTTGTGTTTGAGGCTCTTGCTGGCTGACACGCCACTGTCATATGATTGGCTAAAGGATTGTGCGCACAAGGTATTAGTGTTGGTCTGGTCTTCGAAACCTGTCTTTTTCTTTAAGTTTTTCTCTCTCTTTCTTTGCCTTTCTCTCTCTCTGTCTCTCCCAGCTAACAAAAGCTCATCGTCAGGGTCACATGGTTAAAGTAGACTGGCTGGATCGCTTGACCTTCAGAGAGATTGAGATGATCAATGAGGTGAGTGGGTTTGGGGTAAACGGTACATCATGATACGATATCACTATAATTTTTGTAACCTCTTTGTGGGCCCAAACTAAAAAACACAAGTATATCTAATCTAATTAAGATGATTCATAAAGTTTTTTTTCTCTCTACAGAGTGAGAAACGTAGCTCTAATTTCATGTACCTTATGGTGGAATTCTCCCGTGTCAAAAGTGGCGAACGAGAATACAGCATTGTCTATTACGAAAAGGTACATCCATTTTTAACTACATATTTTGCTATAAAGTCAACATTGATTCAAAATAACCCTTTTTATTGTCCCTGTTAAAGCATGATTCATCAAAATGTACTGTATGTGACTAGGTTGTGATATTAATGTTAACTAATATCCAATAACTATCTTTAGCATATGCTTGTTGTTGGGAAAGCAGTTTTTCAAAAATCTTACCAATTGCTAATAGAGTTATTTAATGTGGTTAAATGTAATATGTATTAACATTTAGTTTGAAAAGAATAGCTTGTTGAGGGTGAACTAAATGGCTATTCGTGTCAAAAACACAAACATTTTTAGGTGGGAAGCAGTGCGACACAATTCTAACTGCAAAGTAGCAGTGAGAAATAAGTACTTTAACAATCTTATAATTTTTAGATGGGTAAAAACAAGCCCCAACTTACAGGTTTAGAAAAATACATTTTTACTTTTTGAAGTAAAATGGGTTGTGAATGCCTTTTTATTTTGACTTTAAATCAGTGATTCATCAAAAATTTTAAAAGGAGTGTAGTTTAAAGACCAGGTAAATTTAAGTGACTCTCTTTTCAGGATGCTGATGATTCCTCCCCTTTGCCAACCAGTTCAGATATTGTGAAAGTCCCAGACCCTCAGATGTGTATGGTGAGTGGAAACAAAAACAAAAAAGTCAGTTAATTTGGGTTCGTTGATTTGAGAATCTGTGATAAATGTCTGTCTTATGCCCCGTTTACACCTGGTATTAAGATGCGTTTCGGTCGATCGGATCACAAGTAGATGAGGGAGACACATTCCCGTTTACACCTGGTGTTTTAATCTCTTTTGTCCACCTTAAATTACTTCTGTCCTGATTTCTTCGAGGGTAGGGCGAGTGCGTGTTAGAAATCAGGAATGGTGAGAGAGTTTGGTTTTCATCTTCAAACCAAACTTGGGTCTTCAGCCATCAAAGTTTAAATCCTTTCTGGATATCACACTTCCCATAATGTTTTTGCATTAGATCAGTAGGCGGAGAGAAGGCGGTCTTTTGTGGCTGTTCGATCATATGAGCATGTACAATACAAAAGCAAACTGGTCGAATGAGTTTTGACTACCTCTGGGATCGGTTGAAAGTGGACGAGCTCAAAAAGGTTTAGACCCCATTTACACCTGTATTTAGCGTCGTCCACTTGGGATCTTAATACCAGGTGTAAACCGGGCCTTGCACTCAAATGGTGGTGTATATTTTGGCACCTGATAATGTAAAAAAAAATGCATTTCATGTAAAATGACAAAGTTAGTACTTTACTGGTGCTTGTGTTCTGTTACAGGAGAACCTTGTGGAGAGTAAGCATCATAAACTGGCCCGTAGTTTGCGCAGCGGACCGTCTGACCACGATCTCAAACCTAACGCGGCCACACGTGATCAACTCAATGTTAGTAATGAAAAGAAAAAGAAGTCCACAAGACTTCTCTGCTGTTGTGTTTTTTTAACATGTATATATTTATCTGTCATAGATCATTGTGAGCTACCCACCCACTAAACAGCTAAGCTCTGAGGAACAGGACCTTGTGTGGAAGTTTAGATACTACCTCACCACACAAGAAAAGGTGAGTGAGCACATGTACCGTACACACTAACCATTTAAAAGTTTTGGGGTCGGCAAGAAAGAAATGAAGGCTTTTATTCAGCAAAAGTGACAGTAAAGACATTTATAATGTTACACATCATTTTCTATTTCAAAAATATGCTTTTCTTTTGAAATGTCTTGTTCCTTAAAATATATTTTGCCATCACAGGAATAAATTATATTTTAAAATATCTAAAATAGAAAACAGTTGTTTCACAATATTGCTGTTTTCTTTTAATCAAATAAATGCAGCCTTGGTGACCATACGAGACTAAATAAATCAATATTGCTAAATAAATCTTACCGACCCCAAACATTTGAAATTACAGTATGTTCATGTTTACTAGTGTTTCCCCATTGTTAGTAGGGTGGTGTCTCAGTTTTACTCTGTGTCTAAGGCAGGATCTAATTGTGGCTCTGTTTTTAGGCTTTGACTAAGTTCCTGAAGTGCGTGAACTGGGATCTGCCCCAGGAGGCAAAACAGGCCCTGGAGCTACTGGGAAAATGGCGGCCGATGGATGTGGAGGATTCCCTGGAGCTGCTGTCCTCTCAGTTTACCAACCCCACAGTCAGACGCTACGCTGTCGCGAGGCTGCAGCAGGCTGACGATGAGGTAAAATCTACAGTATATGTGTTTCTGTGTCTTTATGTATGTCTTCTATCTAGAGCATATGTGTCAGTATATGTCTTTGTGCATCAGATGATTTTATACTTTCTAATGCAGTCTTAACTATCCTTAAATATGCACACCATTACTAATGGAAATCTTTTGGGACAAAATCCTTGTGCTGATAAACATTTAATTCTGCTTATTTTTCTGACTCTTTAGAGAATTAATTGTGATGCATACAATAACCATACCACACACACACACACCTCATCTCTCTTTGTAATTCCCTATAGGATCTGCTAATGTACTTGCTCCAGCTGGTACAGGCATTGAAATATGAGAACTTCATTGATATCCAGGGTGGTTTGGAGCCTGCCAGTAAGAGAGAAAGTCAGGGGGTCCTGGCAGAGAGCTCAACAATAGGAGATCTGGAAAGGTCAGCTTAATCCTCACAATGGGAAATGGGAAATTTAGACATCACTTTTCATAGAATCACAGCATCTTTCAACATCTATGCGTGCACGATTTCCAGAGATGCTAAGAATATATGTACTGTTGGAATTATAAACAATCAAAAATTGAAAAACAAAAAACGTGAGGGTTTCACTCACTGATTTATTTTTCAGTTCCCAGATGGCATCAACTATCCCTGTGATGCCCAGTGGACAGAAAGGCAAAGAGGGAGCAGATGGTGAAAATCTCGAGGTAAGTGTAAAATAAAAAGTTTGCAGATGAAAAAAATCTGTGGAGGGGATGTGGAGATTATGTAACAGTGTGTATGACCTGTGTTCCACAGCAAGATCTGTGCACTTTCCTTATTTCACGTGCCTGCAAAAACTCCACTCTGGCAAACTATCTATACTGGTGAGTTCATTAATCAAGGGGTTTTGCAGTTCTTGCATGATTATAACAATTTTCACCGACTCCATATGTAAGATTTAAAACTAAAAGAAAATGTTCTCTTAAATTGTCTTCTGATGCAGGTATGTAATAGTGGAGTGTGAGGATCAGGACACCCAGCAGAGAGACCCAAAAACCCATGACATGTACCTCAATGTAATGAGGCGGTTCAGTCAGGCTCTGCTCAAGGTACCTTCACATTCTGAACCCACATGACTGACAAACTAATTTGATAATATACAATACTGTTCAAAAGTTTGGAGTCAGTAAGACTTTCTAATATTTTTGTAAGACGTCTCTTATGCTGTAATTATTTGATCAAAAAATAAGTAAAATTGTAAAATAGTATTACGATTTAAATATATTTGCTTTTTTATTCTTAAATTATTTTTTTTTAAATGTAATTTATTCCTGTGATGGCAAAGTTGAATTTTCAGCATCATTACTCCACTCTTCAGTGTCACATGAGCCTTCAGAAATCATTCTAATATGCTGATTTAGTGCTCAAGAAACATTCTTATTATCATCAATATTAAAGTCTTTGATAGAACAGAACACCCTTTGTTTGGAATATCTTTTGTAACATTATAAATGTCTTTTTCTGTCACTTTTGATCAATTAAATGCATCCTTACTAAATAAAAGTTGCTAAAATTAAAACAACTTTTGAACACTGCTGTACCTAACCAGACATGATGCTCAAATTTTCAGCATCGAGAAATTTGTCCGTCTACACAATCACAACCAGTCAGGAGATATCTAGTTAAGATTGGAATTTGAAAGTGATTTTGTCTGATTATTTTGCAAATTCATGCCTCTTATACATATGATTGGTTGATAGAAGTAAATAGATGTGAAGTGTTGAAATAGAGGATATTGAAAATAATATGTGATGTTTGTGTTGGTATTTCCAGGGTGATAAGAGTGTTAGAGTGATGCGCTCCCTTCTGGCCTCCCAGCAGACATTTGTAGACAGACTAGTGCAACTCATGAAAGCTGTTCAGAGAGAGAGCGGAAACCGCAAGAAAAAGGTACGGAACATCTGCTGTAGATCACGAGGAATCTTTTGTAAAGTTTTTTGTTACATTTCATTTTTTTCTGTCACTGACAGACGGAGCGGTTACAGAGCCTGTTGGCTGATAACGAGAAGGTGAATCTGTCAGAGATCGAGCCCATCCCTCTCCCTCTGGAACCCCAAATCCGCATCAAAGGCATCATACCTGAGACTGCAACACTATTTAAGGTATTGTGCATCATTTATATCCATTACACCGAGTCCCGCATGCATCCATCCACCCCTGACACTGCAGTTTGTGTCTCTTTCAGAGTGCTCTGATGCCAGCAAAGCTCATCTTTAAGACAGAGGATGGGGAGCAATATCCAGTCATCTTTAAACATGGAGATGACCTGAGACAGGACCAGCTCATCCTGCAGATTATTTCACTCATGGATAAGGTCCAAAAAGCTCATTAAAAGCCTCACACAGTACCAACAGGACACATAGTTTATATCAGTATTCATTTACGTCTTCTAACATAGCTGATCATTAGCTTTCTTATCTTCAACAGTTGCTGAGGAAAGAGAATTTGGACCTGAAGTTGACTCCATACAAAGTCCTGGCGACCAGCACCAAACATGGTCAGTACTGCTTCACCTATTGAGCCCGTCAATGCACGTGTGGGAGTTTCATTACACTGGATGCATTTGATTTGTCTGCAGGTTTTATGCAGTTTATGCAATCAGTGCCTGTGGCTGAAGTTTTGGCGACTGAAGGCAACATTCAGGTAATGCAATACAATAAAGTTCTGCAGTCCTGCTTCTGGAGGGCCACCATCCTGCAAAGTTCAGCTCCAACCCTAACCAGTTAATCCAGGTCTTCAGGGTCGCTTGATACCTCTAGATCTGCAGGAACATGGCCCACCATGAATAGGATTGGACACCCATTTCACTTGGATATACACTACAGGTCAAAAGTTTTAGATTGGTAAGATTTTTAATGTTTTTAAAAGAAGTCTTTTCTGCTCCCCAAGGCTGCATTTATATGATTAAAAAAAACAAACAAACAAAAAACATTATTATTGCGAAATATTATTACAATTTAAAACGTCTGTTTTCTTTGTGAATATACAGTAAAGTGTAATTTATTCCTGTGATCAAAGCTGAATTTTCATCATCATTACTCCAGTCTTCAGTGTCACATGATCCTTCAGAAATCAGTCTAATAGGATGATTTGCTGCTCAAGAAACATGTATGATTATTATCAATGTTGAAAACTGTTTTTTACATTTTTATTTCAGGATTCTTTGATGAATAGAAAGTTCAAAAGAACAGCTTTTATCTGAAATGGAAAGCTTTTGTAACATTAAACACTAAACACCCTTTAAACAACATTAAACACCCTTTAAAAAGTTTGGGGTCAAATAAGAATTTTTATTTAATTTTTTGGGGGAAAAATAAGAAATCAATACTTCTATTCATCAAGGATGAGTCACATTGATCAAAAGTTACAGTAAAGACATTTATAATGTTAGAAAAGATTCTATTTTGAATAAATGCTGTTCTTTGAACTTTCTATTCATCAAAGAATTTTTGAAAAAAAAAGTGCACAACTGTTTTCAACATTGAAAGTAATAATGAATGTTTTTTGAGCATAAAATCATATTGAAAATCATCACGTGATTTCTGAAGGATCATGTGACACTGAAGATTTGAGTAATGATGCTGCAAATTCAGCTTTTTTCAGAGGAATAAATGACATTTTAATATATATTAAAATAGAAAATAATCATTTTAAATTGTCATTATATTTCACAATATTACTGTTGTTTTGTTTTTTTGTTTAAAAAAATGCAGCTTTGGTGAGCAGAAGAGAGTTCTTATAAAAACATTAAATGATTTAAAACTTTTGACCGGTAGTGTACATCGCAATAGGGAGAAAAAAAGACTTTTGTAATTCTAATATTTTAAAATAAAAGTAATATTTTATTACTTGCATTTGTATAATAGAATTGTAGGTGCAAGGTATCCACATACCAAATAGTGGATGTATTAAACGCATTTTTCTGTGTTCATTTAAAGAGAAAAAGCTCTCATATCTTTTTTTTTTAAATTTCTCTTGATTAATTATATCTCCATGCAGAGTTTCTTCCGAAAGCACGCTCCGAATGATAAGGGGCCATATGGCATCAGCTCTGAAGTCATGGACACATACGTTAAAAGCTGTGGTGAGCTTCACTTCATTAATTATTTACTTCTTTATAAATCATTATTTGCGTGTACTAAATCATGATATACTTTTCAGCGGGCTATTGTGTCATCACCTACATTCTAGGGGTTGGAGACAGACATCTAGACAACTTGCTTCTCACAAAGACTGGTACACTCAATAAACCCACCACAGCTTTCAATGACTTTATGCACTGATAAAATAGATTGGGCGTGCTGATCTGTGTCTCTGGCTTGCAGGGAAGCTGTTTCATATCGATTTTGGCTATATTTTGGGTCGGGACCCTAAACCCCTGCCACCCCCTATGAAGCTGAGCAAGGAGATGGTGGAAGGAATGGGGGGCATGCAGAGCGAACAATACCAGGAGTTCAGGAAACAGTGCTACACTGCCTTCCTGCACCTACGCAGGTGAGTTAAAGAAGACCTACTTGCTTTATGTTGTATGTCTTTGAAATCATAACCTTTTTTGTTGTTTTGGTTGTCTCATGCAGATACTCCAATCTCATTCTGAATTTGTTCTCTCTGATGGTGGATGCGAACATTCCCGACATTGCACTGGAGCCTGACAAAACTGTGAAAAAGGTTTGTGTGGTCCTAAATGTTTGGCCCCAAAATCTATCAAGAGAATCAAGAGAATAAAAGGAGCAATACAATTTTAACCTGTTCATTCTTTGCCTGCCCACTGCAGGTTCAGGACAAGTTTCGATTGGACCTCTCAGATGAGGAAGCAGTGCATTATATGCAGAGTCTGATTGATGAGAGTGTAGGGGCTTTGTTTGCAGCAGTGGTTGAACAGATACACAAATTTGCACAGGTGTGTATCTTTCCTCATACTTTAACCCAATACTCTTTTCCCTTTTGCAAAGTCAGCATGGAAACTATTAAAGACAAGGCCTATTTATGATGTTGCTCAAAACAAGCTTGTTCCTTTGTTGGCCCATGACGCTAAATTCTGGAAAACACTACACAACTTTGCACAGATCTTTTCCCCTGATTTGCTGTCTGGATGAATTGACTCTTGTTGCCAAAGTTCAGGGCCAGTCTCCAGATTTTGGCCAGTCAGGGTTGAAAGATTTCACTCAAAATCACAGTGTAGCCCAGACAATTTTTTTAGCTTCAGTCTTTGATTCCATCCAGAGGAGATCAAATGATTGATATTTTGAGAATTTACTTAACATGAGCTAGTTGACACGAGTTACAAAGTTACTTCAAGTTAGTAGAATGTCTAAAGTGGACAATCAAAATAAAGTGTAACCGCACAACTTGAAACTTAGTGGGTGATCCTCATTCATGTTGTCTATGAAGCCCATTTTTTTCTCTTTAAAAATGTATGATGCTTAGTGGTGTTTCAAAATCTGTGCATATTTTAAGTCTTGCACTGTATTTCAGCTATAATAGAGTTCCCACTTTTGTTAATCCGCTATGATTATTGACAGATCCTGATAAATGGCTAAATAGCGGCCCCATGTAATTGACATAGCCGACGTATTGGACCTTTACTAATGTTTTATATTTAATCTCCACAGTATTGGCGCAGATGAGGTGATGTCATGGAACATGGTTCTCACCTGATCAGTAGGACGGCAACAACAACTGAATGATAGACGGGAGAAAAGGACACGTGCCAAGGCCACACTAGTGACATTGTTTTCACCGTGAAGCATTCATGCACTAGGTCTTGACTAAACTGAATATATTTGTATATAAAATATAAAATGCACTGTATGTAAAAAAAAAAAAAAAAGATGGCCAAATAAAGATTCCAACTTTAGCATTTGTTTACTGGTCAGTATTCATTTTACAGTATATTCACTTTAACACTCATAAAACATTATATTAGTAACCAAAGTCTCTGCTGAATTTTTTTTTTTTTTTACAATAGAATGGTAATCCATTAAACGTGTATTTGAAACCCTTGATTAGGGACTGTTATCTGTTTGGAGGCATCCTTCTATGACAATGAGTGGTTCTGATGCATATGGTGGTTTTAAAGGTTTCCATGGATGAGAATATGTGCGCGTTTCCTCCTATGGTGCCAGTCAGTTAGTGAATCACGCCTTCCTATGAGTATTCAATACAACTTTATTGCACAGCCTATTTAAAGAAATTGGCCAATGTCTTAGACTTACTAGTTATACAAAGTTAAAACCTCAATATATTTATTTTTAGACTACAGGTTATATGGATTAAACATTTCACCAACATTAGTCTGAGCAACTTAAATGCAAGTCTTCAGTTGTTTTGTTTTTGTAATTAAAATAATAAAACTTACTGTCACAAAATTAATAAGCACTGGCCCTCTATCAGAATCCAGAGTTTTGGAAGATTGGAGAAACTTAATTTTTCGCCCAAAAAAAAAAAACGTAAGGGGTACCACTGTCGTTTTTTTTTCGGGCCGAATTTTTGAGTTTCGATATCTCAGCTCTGGAAGGGGCTAGAGCCTCCATTTTTGCACTCAGGTCTAAGTCTCATGGCCCTCTATCAGAATCCAGAGTTTTGGAAAAATTGGAGAAACTTAATTTTTCGCCAAAAAAAAAAAAAAACATAATGGGGTACCACTGTCGTTTTTTTTTTTCGGGCCGAATTTTTGAGTTTCGATATCTCAGCTCTGGAAGGGGCTAGAGCCTCCATTTTTGCACTCAGGTCTAAGTCTCATGGCCCTCTATCAGAATCCAGAGTTTTGGGAAGATTGGAGAAACTTAATTTTTCGCCCAAAAAAAAAAACGTAAGGGGTACCACTGTCGTTTTTTTTTCGGGCCGAATTTTTGAGTTTCGATATCTCAGCTCTGGAAGGGGCTAGAGCCTCCATTTTTGCACTCAGGTCTAAGTCTCATGGCCCTCTATCAGAATCCAGAGTTTTGGGAAGATTGGAGAAACTTAATTTTTCGCCCAAAAAAAAAACCGTAAGGGGTACCACTGTCGTTTTTTTTTCGGGCCGAATTTTTGAGTTTCGATATCTCAGCTCTGGAAGGGGCTAGAGCCTCCATTTTTGCACTCAGGTCTAAGTCTCATGGCCCTCTATCAGAATCCAGAGTTTTGGGAAGATTGGAGAAACTTAATTTTTCGCCCAAAAAAAAAAACGTAAGGGGTACCACTGTCGTTTTTTTTTCGGGCGAATTTTTGAGTTTCGATATCTCAGCTCTGGAAGGGGCTAGAGCCTCCATTTTTGCACTCAGGTCTAAGTCTCATGGCCCTCTATCAGAATCCAGAGTTTTGGGAAGATTGGAGAAACTTAATTTTTCGCCCAAAAAAAAAAAACGTAAGGGGTACCACTGTCGTTTTTTTTTCGGGCCGAATTTTTGAGTTTCGATATCTCAGCTCTGGAAGGGGCTAGAGCCTCCATTTTTGCACTCAGGTCTAAGTCTCATGGCCCTCTATCAGAATCCAGAGTTTTGGGAAGATTGGAGAAACTTAATTTTTCGCCCAAAAAAAAAAAACGTAAGGGGTACCACTGTCGTTTTTTTTTCGGGCCGAATTTTTGAGTTTCGATATCTCAGCTCTGGAAGGGGCTAGAGCCTCCATTTTTGCACTCAGGTCTAAGTCTCATGGCCCTCTATCAGAATCCAGAGTTTTGGGAAGATTGGAGAAACTTAATTTTTCGCCCAAAAAAAAAAAAAACGTAAGGGGTACCACTGTCGTTTTTTTTTCGGGCCGAATTTTTGAGTTTCGATATCTCAGCTCTGGAAGGGGCTAGAGCCTCCATTTTTGCACTCAGGTCTAAGTCTCATGGCCCTCTATCAGAATCCAGAGTTTTGGGAAGATTGGAGAAACTTAATTTTTCGCCCAAAAAAAAAAACGTAAGGGGTACCACTGTCGTTTTTTTTTCGGGCCGAATTTTTGAGTTTCGATATCTCAGCTCTGGAAGGGGCTAGAGCCTCCATTTTTGCACTCAGGTCTAAGTCTCATGGCCCTCTATCAGAATCCAGAGTTTTGGGAAGATTGGAGAAACTTAATTTTTCGCCAAAAAAAAAAAAACGTAAGGGGTACCACTGTCGTTTTTTTTTCGGGCCGAATTTTTGAGTTTCGATATCTCAGCTCTGGAAGGGGCTAGAGCCTCCATTTTTGCACTCAGGTCTAAGTCTCATGGCCCTCTATCAGAATCCAGAGTTTTGGGAAGATTGGAGAAACTTAATTTTTCGCCCAAAAAAAAAAACGTAAGGGGTACCACTGTCGTTTTTTTTTCGGCCGAATTTTTGAGTTTCGATATCTCAGCTCTGGAAGGGGCTAGAGCCTCCATTTTTGCACTCAGGTCTAAGTCTCATGGCCCTCTATCAGAATCCAGAGTTTTGGGAAGATTGGAGAAACTTAATTTTTCGCCCAAAAAAAAAAAACGTAAGGGGTACCACTGTCGTTTTTTTTTCGGGCCGAATTTTTGAGTTTCGATATCTCAGCTCTGGAAGGGGCTAGAGCCTCCATTTTTGCACTCAGGTCTAAGTCTCATGGCCTCTATCAGAATCCAGAGTTTTGGGAAGATTGGAGAAACTTAATTTTTCGCCCAAAAAAAAAAACGTAAGGGGTACCACTGTCGTTTTTTTTTCGGGCCGAATTTTTGAGTTTCGATATCTCAGCTCTGGAAGGGGCTAGAGCCTCCATTTTTGCACTCAGGTCTAAGTCTCATGGCCCTCTATCAGAATCCAGAGTTTTGGGAAGATTGGAGAAACTTAATTTTTCGCCCGAAAAAAAAAAACGTAAGGGGTACCACTGTCGTTTTTTTTCTTTTTAGGCCGAATTTTTGAGTTTCGATATCTCAGCTCTGGAAGGGCTAGAGCCTCCATTTTTGCACTCAGGTCTAAGTCTCATGGCCCTCTATCAGAATCCAGAGTTTTTGGGAAGATTGGAGAAACTTAATTTTTCGCCCAAAAAAAAAAACGTAAGGGGTACACTGTCGTTTTTTTTCGGGGCGAATTTTTGAGTTTTTGAT